GACATCGTACCACCTACTGCATTACAATAACATATTTGTAATTGTATCATTTGCCTTAATTCTTCATAACTAAAAGTTATTTATCTCACATGCTTGTTACAATTAATCAAAAAATCTTTTATTTGAAATGTATTGATCTCATCTGTCATACAAAAATATTGCTAATATTATATCAAAAAAGTTAGTTTTGTAAAATAATCTCATTTTGTAAACATGTTTTTATAGTAGATCACAATATCTTAAGGTTTAGTATTTTTGAGTATTTTTTGAATAGAAAAGATTTCAACTGTGATGAAAACTTTGTAAAGTTGTTTATTGCAAGTTTTTATTACAGAGTGTAGGTCAGCACAGTTTAAAAATTACTTCCAAGAATTTCTTTACAAAAGTACCATCCTAGACTTGCTTTAAATAGAGATCATCCTATACACTGAACCTCAAAGAAATACAATTAATTTGCTCAAAAAATTCATAGGTTATCTTGTACATGGGATCTTCTTATACACCTTCAAATATGGTATGCATTAAGATTTGTACTTGTCAAATATGTACATAATGTAAAATATCATTGTTCATCAGTGTAAACTGTATAGAAACACAAAGGGTTGGAAAAAATGACCATCACACTTAAGGCTCCAATAAATATCCAAACGTTATTGTTACTTATGCTATAAGAACCACATGATTCTTCTGATTACATGTATAGGCTATACCAATTCAGACAAAGAAAATGTTAAGTCTATCCCAACCATCATGGACTTTTGAAACATTAATCTTGGTGGTAATGTCTGGAACAGAAATGCAGTGCAATGAAGGTCGAGCTAGCCGTGCAGCATTTGCTGAGAATCCCAGATGTTTTCTTGCAGGAACAGTGATGAGCTTATTGCAGGACTTGACAGCCTCTAGTAAGATTGTTCACAGAGGTGTCCAGGCTTGGTCTGCTTGACCCCAACCCAATTCATCTAGAGTCAACACATCCTGTTCATACACTAGTGGTTGCCTCTGTATATGACCAGCCTGGTAAGCACCTTTTTTTACATTCAGGGATGTTTTCTCTTGCTTTTGTTCCTTGGGCAAAAAGTGCTTGATGGACCTGGTTCACATTACTAATTGGGTAATTGCAGTTATACAAATGCAAGATCTTCCTGCATGGTTTCTTGTAGTGTGTCAAAAAGGTTTGCAAATGCTGTGATCACATCAAGGCATGCATTCCATGTTTCAAATGTAGTTTTCTTTCCTCATCCAGGGAAGGTTGACACAATAATGCAGCCCACGAATGCATGAAAGAATGTTTGAGCTGTGCATGTGCTTGGAAAAAGATCATTGGCAGTGCTGTGTGCAAAGGTGTACGAGACATTTTTGAGAACTCCAAAAGCAATCTATAACTCCTGAATATAAAACTGTACTTGGGCAATTTCCAAAGCTACAACATCAGTGTTCACTGTAAGTGACACATGTTGAGATAATATATCAAAATATTTTTCTTGGAGTCATGTAATAGTGTAGTAGAGTTAGCTAGTTCCCTTTTAAATGTGTTTAATGTATCATTTAAAGGTTTCAAAGTAATTGTATTATTTTAAATGTAGAAATAATCACACAGATTAAACTTTAAATAAAAAGAAATAATAATTGTTTCCTTTTTGATTTTGCTATTGTCCTTTTTATTTTCGGATACAGTAGAAAACTACTAATGGTTAGCAGCATGTTTTAAAATTGGAATGGCTTATATATTTACATAAGAGTTAAAACCAAACTCACAGGCCAAGAAAATATGTTTAAACATTTAGGTGACACCTCTATGAATATTAAAAGCATGTATTGGTGCTAGTTTTTGATGGAAGCCACTATGAAATTCAAGGTGGCAGCTGTTTGGGACAATATCTGTGATTGGCCTTGCTTTTACATATATTTTCATATGAAAATATACATATATGTCAAATTTGAAATACTTAGAAGGTCATTCTATGTGCATTTGAAGCATCTAGTTGAGTTGTACTAGTTTTTGGTGGTGGCCATATTGGAATCCAGTATGGCAGTTGTTTAGGACAAGATCTGCAATGGATCTTACTTTTATACGAATCTCCTTATGAAAATTTACATCCTTGTCAAATTTTACCTATTCAGATAACATTTCTATGTTGACTTGATGCATATAGTTTGAGTAATGCTGTTTTTTGATGGTAGCAATATTGGAATCCAAGATGGTGGCTGGTTAGTGCAGGATCTGCAGTGGATCCTGCTTTTATATGAATCTACATATACACCAATTTTTTTGCTTTTCTCACTGTTTGGATAATTTTGGGTGCTTATTTTCTTGACCATAACAAAACTTCAGTA